ACTTTATGTATCTTACCTTTCTAAATTCCTATTTACAACAATGGTACACCCGTCGCATTATTAGCTTTTTTAGATTCTGAGTGTATTGGTTTTACAAAAATGTTTATTTTATTATTACTTTTTTTTTTGTCTATAAATAACTTTTCAAGTTAAGCAATTTTGCTCTATTTCATAACAATAGCACTTTTTTCCGAAAGGAAATTTCACCGGGGTGGTACTTTAGGGAGATCATTTTTTTATTTTTTCTGGAGTTTTCTCAATAAAAGAGAAAAACCGGAAAAAAAATGGAAAAACGGGAAAATAAGTACAATATCAAACAAATATTGTTAAAGAAAATATATAATGCATATGTAATTATTTTACCATAATATGTCATAATATATATTGTTAACAAAGCAACATTATCAACCGAACTCTGTTAGCAATGGTTAATCGTTGCGTACAGATAAACATTAATTTCCCGTCTATATCCTATTTTCCCATCTTCCCACTTACAATAGTGGCTGCACCTGTCCCCATTATCCTAGGACAGCTTTTTTTTCGATTACTTTAAGTAAAACTTATAATAAACATCTTTAAGCATTTTCAAGCATTTTTGTTTGATCAAACAATTGTATCTGTATAATATTTATCAAATAAAAATGAAAAATGCAAATGTTAAATGCCTACAATAGTTCAAAATAACTATATTTACATCTATGTATATATTAGGTATTTATACATTTGATACTTTCAATATAGACTTTCGTAGTGTAAACTTTATTAAACATCATTGCCCCTCCTTATTTTACGGTTTTGTACTCACTTTTACAACATTACAACTGATTCCGGCTTACCTACGGTGCGAAGTATGTCTGTATTTTTATATATTTTTTAATATACATAGTATATTTTTAACGATATACGAACGCAATAATTATTGAGTCGCACACTTGTCAGAAACAAACACAACATGACGTTTACTCGTATGTTAACATTAGCATTAACCAGCGATGTTACATTTACGTAGTAAACTATGCATTAATATGCACGTGTATACGCGTAGTTATACTATATGCATACAGAGAGTATAATATTGTTATAAATGTTATCAACTCGTACGCCCACTATCGAGACATAATTAAAAAAAAAAAAAAAAAACCAAATGGCCCGGATGACGTGCATTGCACCATAGGCAGAAGGCTACTGCTTTAGGAAAATTAAAGAGTAATTTAGATAATAAACCGAAAGCATCACTGCGACGAAAAATAACCGACTTTGAATGAAACTTGGAAAACTCGGTTATACGTAGTGGTGTTTTTTTTTCTATTGTAGCTGAAAGGTGACCCCAGAAGTCAATAAAATCATTTTATCGTCATCTGTGTGGTTTTTTTTCGATATTTTTGAAAAACTGTTGGGAATCTAGGACACATTTTAAAATAACACAGTATCTATGTACTTAATAAAAATTACGTGTTAAACTCGCAAAATTAAAATGTTTTTATTAGCTTAATTTTTTTAAAAATTTTATCTTATCTAAAAAATGCAAATACAACTCATAAAAAAAAAAATAAATAAATAAGACGACTATCTTATTTACCAACTAGTTTGAAAATACAACAAAAACGCGTTAATTGGCATTTTTAGGTTAAAGCAATATTTCTTGCATAAAACATAGTTTAAAAAGATATATGGTTCATATTATGAAGGACATTACCAGGAAGCGTCACATCTGGGCAGGGTATGCATGTTTACTGGGAAGGTTTACTGATTAGGATGGTTATAAAAAACACCCCCAAGGTAAGAGACTACTAGGTCGTCCGAGGTTAAGATGGGAAGATAGATTAAAAGTGGTAAATTACGATTCCATATGGACCTTTTTCACTATTACGATTGCGTATATTCTACCTACCTAAACTTAGTGCAACATTGCTGTTGAAAATTTGTAACATGACTTATTTTAGGAAATTATGTGATTATTCCTCAGTCCAATACTTTTCGATAATCTATAAAATACTATAAGATAAGATTAAATGACGATTGTATTATCTTGTGTGTCGCACTTTAGAATCGTTATATTAGTATACGACCAACTCATCATTCGATAAGTCAAAGGGAAATAGTGTGGTAACCATGGATAATTTTTTATAAATTATAATGTCAAAACGTGGGAAAGACGTTAGTTGTGGTTTCTTCACATAAATATCGTTTTATAAGAAAATGCAAAAACCAATTGTTAAAATAGTTATATTATAACAAAAGTTTTTATGCCAAGTTATTTCTGTAATCGGTGAGCACAATCATGCAACAGTAACACCTCAAAATGTTGAGCGTCAAATTCTCAGAGAAAATTGCAAATGAAAAGCTAGCGAATCAATTTCAACTCAACCAAGCAAAATTATAACAAAAACATTACTGAAAAATTTAAGTACAGATATTGCACATAAGGATATTTCTTCTGTCCGAAAAGCTATGTATATGGCAAAACGGAAAGACTTTCCTGTATATCCAAAGACTTTTGATGAAGCCATAGATAAGATTTATCCACATTCCGTTTAATAAATTGTTTATTTGTATAACAACTGAAGAAAATTTAAATTTTATGAGTTTTTGCACAGAATATTTTTCTGATGGCACATTTTAGTTCGTACCTAAGTTTTTTATGCAAATGTACACTGTTCATTGTTTTAAAAATGGCTTTTATTTACCAGTTATTTTCATTTTTTTGAAAGATAAATTTAAGCAAACATATATCGAAATGTGGAAATGTATAAAAGAATTATATTTACAACATACATCTTAAAAACTTGATCTATGCAAATTACACATCGACTTCGAAATAAGAGCTGCGAGAGAAGTTTTCCCAAATGTACAAATAATTGGATGTCTTTTCCATTTAACTCAATCTTGGTGGTTTTATGTAAGTATTTAATAAATAACTAACTCACATAGGTTAAATAAAATATTTGCAAAGTTACTTACAACAATTTTTACATTAATAAACACAAATAAAAATTCTGTGCAGAACTTTTAACACTCAATTTTATAGCGCACATCCACCAATATATCTTGTCATCAATCACGGTGAGTACAGATAGTTAGAAACTATATAATGTAAATAATTCACGTGATAGTGTTGGTCCAGGTCACCACACTAGCCACTAGGTATTCGTATGTTATTAATTGTATAGCAAATAAACGGTGTAGTGCATGCTGGCAACGTTTCACTCATTTTTGTACGCAATCGTAATTTTTTTAAGGGTCAGGTATAGAAATCATACGCAGTCGTATAAATATACGCAATCGGGATACCAAAAGTGACAAACGTACGCAATATTATATTACCGATTAAAAGAAGACGCAGAAAAAAGAAAACCAGGAGTAGTTGGAAGTACTATCTTTTGAAAGAGAATCTCGGGAACAATTGTGTTGGACGGGGTGGTATTAAAGGCTAAACCCACGAAAAAGAAAGAAAGAAGAATACAAACCAACACATACGCAATATTTAAATTGGGGGAGCACAGAAGTACGGAACTCTTATATTATTTTCTTTTTTTTAGATTCTGATTGGAGCAAAGACGCTTATGGTTTTATAAAGATGTTTTTTTATCTGTGCGAAACTTTCTATCAGAAATTTTGTTCCGATTTTGAAATGTAGTACTCTTTCTAAAAGGAAATTGAACTGGGGAGGTACATTAAGGAAGTAATTTTTCGATTTTCTCAAGAGTTTTACCTGCAAATTTGAAAAACCAGGAAAAACGGGAAAATCGGCTCAACATTAAACAAATATTATTAAAGAAAACATAAAATGTCTATTTAATTATTTTACCATAATATGACATATGCTTTGTTGACAAATTATCACTATCAACTGAACTGCGCTCAGAATAATTTTTTTCCGTTAGCAATGGTTTATCATTGTTTACAGTTATACATTAAAGTACCTATAATAGTGGCTGCACCCATCCCCATTATTCTAGGACAGGTTTTTTTAGTTTTCCCTTACTATAAATACTTCTATTGGGATGGACGGACGGTATGGCTCTTATTGCGATTGATGATAATTTCAAAAAAAAATGTATTATCAACTCGGGTATATTCAGTGGTGTACTTTTATTTTAGAATTGAATATTATAATGTTTAAATACGAAAAATACACGACATTTAAGCAAAAAATGTATCCTGCAGAAGTTATTATAATTGGTCTTGTTGATCTCGTTGTGCAGGTAAATATCAATGAACGAAAATTCTATTAAAGTTTTTCTGTTTTGTGTTTAAAACCCGAGTGCAACACGGATTTTAGAACTTAAAAACATCTCAAAACTATATAGGTGCCTATAATATATATGTGTGTAAAAAAAGGCTGATACTGCTGATGATGGGTACGTCCCTGTTAAAACTGTTAGGAGAAAAGTTAAAAGGGAGGATATATAGAGTAATTTAATTCGTATCTGTATTACGGAACAAAAGGACTTTTTTAGTGCATGTATTTAGTCGGTTTTCCGTGGTTTTATTTTTTTAGAGATAAAAGTCCTAAAACGTAGACGCATCATTATAGTATTTTAATATCAATGATACCATCGTTTATATTATTATAATATAATAAACGATCCTTTATTACTTTTTGCCGAGAAACGTTTAGTTATTTGATCTATTTTATTTTTTACCGATTACGATGCGTATTTAATCTATTATACTGACGTGGACGTCTATACAAACCGTTAACATATTATCACTTGCATATAATAAGCCGGACCTTTGAAGTGTATGCAAGGTCAGCGCGGAAACATTATAATAGTATATCGGCAAGTACCTATACAGTATAAGAGTCTCTGAAACAGCGACGGCGGTTCACTGCAAACACGATGAATTAGGTCAATACTCGAGAAAATACGACAAAATATTAAAACAAACATAATATTAATAATTGGTAAGTTTCGTGGTGTACACACAATGTATGATAATAAAATATGATAAATATTGTAGTATTGAACTAAAAAAAAAAAAACTTTATTAATTCAGCTACAAGAAAATTAAAAAACGTGTTACAATAATAATAATAATAATAATACAATTATTTACTTTTCAATTATCATTGTGTAATATATTATAATATCCGGTATAACATCCATAATCGTCGAAACAGTTTTGAATATTATTATTCTAAAAAAAATTATTCAACAATGACGGGCAGAAAAAAAAAATTAAAACAGTCGGTAACAAATAGTAATATTACGATTATAACTGTGACGATTTAAATAATACATAATAATAATAAAATAATAATAATACATTTATTATTTATTTAACTATATAATAATAATTGCATGTGACTTCGCCATGCGGTGTATTCGAGTGTTTTTTGGTAAAATTATTGCTAACAGTTTTTTTTTTTTTTAAATTATGTGCTTTATACATCAACAAATTTTCACAATACATTAGAAAACTAAAAAAAAAAAATATATATATATATATATATGTATAATTAAAAACTATGTCGTATGCCGAACAATCGGCGGACCCCGAAACCGTTTTCGAAATTTCGGATCAGGGTCGTGAGGTATAATAATGATCATATTACATAATATTGCCTACATATATATATTATGTGAAAAATCTATTTAACCTATAAATTATAAAGAAAAAAAAAACAAAACGGTATTGATTTAGAACAATATAATATAATTATCTTTATTTCCGGTTACATTATATGCATTTGCTACTTAAAATTAAGGGTACAATATTATTATTATTGTATAATATCGAGCCGCGGTATTGTTGTGAAAAAAAAAAAATCTTCGATACACCCGGTCGTCTAATATGTACCTCTACGTATGTAGTTGTTTTTTGTTTTTGATTATTCGAGCGATGACGACAGACGATTGCGAATAATAAACAAAATCTTTGGTCTCGGGAAAGAAGGGCTCGTGTCGATTTCGTATAGTTTTCAATACGAACGAATAAAATTATTTTGAAAATTATATAATAGCCTGAGCCACTAAGTTACCGTACCGGCTAAAGCAATGGCTAAGTGCCTTGAGACAGTGGCGAAATAAACGGGGTCTTTGATAAAGTGTTGCTTTTCGATTTTTAAACATTTTTTTTTTTAATTTAGGGACGGACGGGCGCTCAATATGAAAATAACTAAATTTTCGTTTATTGAAAATAGATATACGTATTGAATTTTGCCGGGAAATATTGGTGGGCAGATTATCTAGATTGCTTCTGGATTATTTTGGGTACGTTTCGCCACTGACTTAAGTCATATTATAATATTATACTACTTGTGCCAAAAAAAAATAAATAGGTATGTAGATATCTATATCATAATAATATGATAGCGACTTGAGATATTTTAGTTTTCGGTATAAAACGCGTAATAGAATTATATTATATACATAATATTGGGTTTATCACTTGTTTCATTTAAACCAAAAAAAAAAAAAAAAAAAAAAATAATAATAATAATAATAATAATGCGAAACAAAATTATATATATATAAAAAAAAAAATTGACATAAAACCTTCTCCCCTGGGACCAAAGATAGATAGTCGTACGCGAAAAAAAATTTAATTTAATCCCTATTTAGGATTTACCGCCCCGTAAATTCGTTTGTTCGCGTCATCGTCGGCGGCGGAACTAAAAAAAAAAAAAAATCAATAGATCCTTCGCTGGGTTTCATAATAGAAAAATCGTTTAATCTCATCGTTTAGAATTTTTACGATTTTCATTTCATTTATTTTACTAGGTATAAGTATTATTTTAAAGCGATCGCGGACTAACATAATATCGTAGATATTGTACATTCACTGCTTACACACACACACGATAGTATAATATGTATAGGATGATGGTTTATAGTTCGAAACATCCAGTATGGGTCCCGGATCCGTAAAATATTTCAGTAATAATATAGGTGCCCGTATACAGGGTACGCGGGCTATAACATGCACTCATATTACAAAGGGGTATGCGTGGAAAAACAATCGTAATTCAGTCGCGCAAAATATACCCGGAAACGTTCTCGCATTTCTCCTCGTTTCCGTTCGGACTATAGTCTATAATGATAATACGGTGACCTTCCTTTCCTCGTTTCCCCTTCGTACGCGTCAATTCGTCAAAATTCATCATTTTCGCGACCGTTTGACGCTATATTATCATGATCGTTTTTCCCCGAAACCCTTCGTGTACGCAGTTTATACACTCTATATAGTGTAGGTTACGCATACATGCATGGTATGGATGTGTGTGTGTGTGTGTGTGTGTATACAAGTATAACAGCAGTAAACGGTGTGGTAAATATCTATTCATATGTAATCATCGGGTTTTTTTGTACTCTCGAAACAGATTTGAAAACTCTAACACCATAATATTATTTATGCTATACAATATAATCAAGGCACCTCCTATATAAATATATATTTATAGATTCTGATTTATATTATTATGGTAATAATATTATTCGTAAAAATAATAGAAATGTTAAAGAAAAAAAATACCTAAAAAATATTTAACAAATATAATAATATATAATATAATATAATATATGTGCTAAATCTAAATTGTACGTCATTTTCCTTATAGTCTAATATAATAATATATTGCGTAATCTAAACAATATAATATTCGGTCTAGAAAAAAAAAAAAAAAAATCAAACGAACATCACAAGTCCATTGCGAAATATTTGTACAATTCGATTACTCTTATAGCCGTTAATAAACTATTTTATTATAATAGCTTAAATTCATTTAAAAACCAAAATATTAATATTATTATTATTATTATAATTTTTATTTTTTTTAAAACACATTTTTTTTGTTTTTCATATAAACGTTAAACTATTATCACAATCAGTCGATTTGCCCCTCATATTTAAAAAATACATTTTTTTTTTTTTTAATTTTATACGCTTATCTTGCTATGGATTTACATAATAATAATATACGATGTTGTATGTTTAACATATTTTGTGATCACCGAAATCATTATTTGCAAAAACATAAAAATAAAGAATAATATATTTCATAATATACAGGGTGTATCTATATGATTTTACAATTTCCTATATAATACACAATGGCTTTAGAATATTTTATTTATTTAGTCTCCGAGTCGAAACAAGGAGCGAATTATAAACGAAAACAGACAGATTTATACTACGTAGTATATATATACGCGAAGAGAGAGAAATGTAGAGAGAGGGAGTTTGAGAAATGCCGTAAAAAAATATCGTACGAAAATCCGTATCTTTTTTCCAACAAGCACAGGCGTAATAATTTCACTATTATAATATGGTACATACTTGTAAAGTGCACTTGAGTAAAAGTATTTAAATAAAAACACGAGTATATATTTCGTAAATATTTTTCAAAATTATTTCTATTTGAAATCCAACACCTATCTTGAATACGTTAATAATAATGCTGAAATCGTTTTTAAATATTTAAGCGCATCGCGATACCACACGCGTGCCGTTAACAACACCGCGTCGAATGTAATGCACGGATTCGAAATTTTAAATTGTGTTGCAGGTATTAAACTAGTATTATACTATAAATAATGATGTTAAAAACAAAAAAAAAAAAGAAAACCGAAAATTGACGAATCTAATGCACGAGCTTACAATGTTATGTAAAAATAAAAGTATTTGAATAAAACAAGTACTTGTATTTTATAAACACTTTTCAAAAGTGTCTGCATTCGTACTCGAGTATACCAACGTGTTCTAAATTTCTTGACGGATTTTAAACATAATACACCTATCCGTATTTGTACTCAAAATACTTTTAAAAAGTATCTTTTACAAGTATTAGGTATATATATATTATAATAATGTAAATGTGTACGATAAAACGGAATAACTGCACGTGAGCCGTCCACGCACGTTTCCGTAACACGGTTAGTTTAATCCATTATTATTATTATTGTTGTTGTTCTTTTCGTGTAAGAAAATGCGAAATTCTCGTCGTCGTCTGAGAGAAAATGTCATGATAAAAGCTTAGTGGTGGCTGAAGAAAAACTACGTGCAACTTTGGTGGGGTGGGAGGATATGCGCCCGTTATTGTGCTTACGGGGCGGCGGGCGGGCATAAGTATGGAGTCTTTACCCCCGATACCTGACCCCGTGACAGTCTTGACCGATTTTCGACAAACCCGTAATATATTACGTATAATATACGAGTAGTATCAAGGCTGGGTTTGAATTAATGAACGACAATATATTTACTCGGATTGTATAGGTAGTTAAATACATTAAGACAATTAATTTATAAATTTTATTTAGATACTTAGGTAGGTACTTAATTGTTTTGTCGTGATATTGCAAAATAGTGAAAATGATTCCAACTGTAGAGTAAAATAAGTTAGTTTCGAAATTGACCCCGATTAACGCGATAAGAATCGAAAAGGCACTGTTTATTGTTATAATGATTTTTTTTTTTCGGATCGTTATAGTTTTCGGGATATTTAAATCCGGGTACTAATAATAATATTAATTAAAAAAAAAAAAATAATAATAACGTTAAGTATTATAAATTTCATTCGACACGACGACGACGACTGAAAATACAATGATAATTATTATTATTGTCATGACGACGGGATCGGAGATACTCGGAAGTGCAGAACACGTTTTTAATGAAACAACAATAATAAAATAATAATCGACGGTTTTTTCAAACGGTTAGCGATAAGTGACGATAACACGTTTTATCATTATTCGATATTATTTCGAGTACCCAATATAATGTACTTATTATGTATATTAAACTCGTCAGTGGCGGCGCGAGATATTTTATTCCGCGAGTCCCGTTGAGAATTTATTTATTATAATATTAACCGATTGCTAACACCTAACCTACAATTTGAAAACCTATCTGCTCGTCTGTTGTATTCCACTACTAAGTCCTACTCGCTAGTGTTTCGTACCGTAAGCCCGAATGCCCGTCCGGGACTCGAAAAACTGCCTTCGCCCCGCTCCAACGATACTCGTATTGCAGTACGTTGCCGGTCCGTTATATTTTGTGCGCGTCGGAAAAATAATATTGATATTGTATTATAAATTGTGTATTATTATTATCGTTGATAGTATTAGAAAACAAAAACGGGGAAAAAAAAACGGCGATAATAGTAAAATAATGTAAATAAAAATCGACCACCAACTGTTTGTGATTAGAATCAGAAAACAAAAAAAAAAAGGAAGGGGGGAACGAACTCTGATAACCTCGCCCCGACTGTTTTATAATAATAATTATTGCCGATACAGATGATATTGTACCTAGTATAATTATATAATAAATGATAATGTAAAATTTCGTTTTTTTTTTTTTTCCCCCATATAATATTGTAATAAGAAATACGCATGGTACATAGTGAAAAATGTTTGCACACGATTATTGCACTTTATAATAATATTATACGGGTAGTTTCGTGTCGCGTTACGACATATTATATTATACCGTTGTAAACTTATGAAGTACAAAAATTTAAACGCGACATTAAAACGCATCTATAATAAGTAATAACAAACGGCATAATACCCGGAAAGTTTTCGTTCCGATTTACGAAAAACTGTTACATATGTAATTATTGCTATTCGTGAACATGTGTATACGTACAGATAAATTATTATTATTACGACGATGACGATAATAATATAGATGTACGTGATAATGTTTATAATATAATATTACAGTATCTACAAGGCCGTGCGCGAGTCGACGATGATAATAATATTAAAAATTGGTTAATTGAAAAAAAAAACAAAAAAATTACAGAGTAATGTAGGTGTGCAATATTAGTATAAAGAACGTGCGTAATATTTTCAATATTTCGTTCGAATCGAAACAGTTCACCTTCTGTATTCATATAACTGAACGCGATATTCAAAGTCAACTCGTTATTAATTGGTAGTAAATCGTATTATTGCGAACAAAAAAAAAAAAAAAAAAAAAAACAATCCACGTTGAGTTAATTATAGAAATAAAAATCATAGGTTAAACGCCGAGTTACGTATTTTTAACTCGGCTCTTGAATTAAAAATATTGTTAGGTCGTCAACGCCCGGCCTTGTCGATTTTATTATTGTTATTATTTGTTAAAATATTTATTATATATCGTATATAAATATATGGTGGTGAAGGAAGGAGGTGGGAAGTCGTAATAAATCGTAAATTTTAACGTCGTCGTATAATATAATATAATAATAATATGATATAGTATAATATTTTGCATTTAATTATCACTAATTTTTTTTTGTTTTTTTTGTTTATTTTTTTAGTACACGATTTAATTATTTTATTTCTCTACAAAAATATTATTGCCCGCGTTTCCATCACACATTTTTTTTTTCGATTAGAAAACATAAGAATCAAAAAAATCAAATAAATAACAAAGATTAAACGCCCGTCATCGTACCGTAATGATAACAACATTGTAATAATAGATAATAATTTTTAATAATAACGTTGTCCATCTGCCTAACTGTTATCGAATTGACTATAAATATTACGATTATAATATTGTTTTACTCGTACATTATAATACCTTGTACACCACTCGTCGGGTGTGGTATCACTGACCGCGTGCAGTACCTAGTCAAATGGAAAAGAACGCTAGAATTGTGTTTTCATCTTTATTATTATTGTTATCACAACGACATCGGGTCCGTCGTCGGCCGGTCGTTTCGTTTGCCGCGCGGCCGTTGCCGTCAACCCAAATGCCCGACATTAGTTTTTGTCCGCCCACCGCCCGGGTTGTCCTATAGTGGTTTATTTTACCTACGTGTCGAATTGGCTTCCGAATTTTTTCCTCCTGTTTTTGTTTGAGGTATGTACCTTCATTGATTACCAACATATTTTGCGAAATCCGCGTTATTTCAATTAGGTACCAGTTTTCCACAGTGGTACACAGTATATACCGTTAAAAGTGATTTATATTATGCACATTGGCGGATAATTTAAATATATCTTTGAGAACCGCTATATTATACCGTTAAAAATTTCATCGGGAGCTGATTTATTTAAGGGCCAATTTCGTGTAGTTTACTTAAGGGGAAATCTTTTGCTTACCTCCCCGGACGGTCACGCGTCGAAACAACCCTCCCTTGAGTACCCGCGACGACAAACGTATCCGCTAAAAAATTCATAATATTATATTATTATTATAAAAATGGCGATCAGTCTTATTATATCAGAACAAAAAAAAAAAAAACCAAATAAACGAACGAAACACTGCCGATCACAATATTGCTCGTTAATCCTTATTGATATTTTATAAAATATATAAATGGCGTTACGAATTTTTTATGTTTTTGTTGTTATCATTTTTATATTTGACCGTTCGCCAGCTATCTATAATATGATATACCTATATTATAATATGCGCTAACAAAAAAAAAAAAAAAAAACAACCCCTACTAGATGATGCGACTTGCAGTACCGTAGTCGAAAAATATTGGTTACATGGGCAGGGGTTAAGGGAGGGGGGAAGATGGTAATAATAATTTTTGTATGATTATTACCTTCTAAACTCGGGATACGAGAGCGGTCGCTTCCGTCGCCCCCTCCTCTCTCCAGTGACTACGGCACTGCAGATGTGATGTGTAATTATTATTATTATTATTTTCTAATTTGCTAGTTTTTTTTTTTTCTGTACACTATAAACGTAGTATATACCATGATAGAAATGTGTGTTATAAAAAAACAAAATAAAATGTTAAAAAAAAAATATTAAGAAAAATAAAGGTTTTTTTTTCATTTGCTATTTGAGAAAACAACGCGTGTTGTACGTTACGGCGGCGGCGGCTGAGGAAATACGTACGACACCACGCCGTTCGCACACGTTTCCGTTTTAAATCGGAAATCATCTGGCCGCGGACGACGACGAGTGCCGCAGTAAGAGCAGACCGACGGCCACCGCTACCACGGTCAAGGTAGCCCTGACGGCCGTCGACTCGTTGACCTCGTTGCACGGCGTTTCACCTGTAACAAATCGAAACGCGCGTTATAGTGATTTAATCGTTTATCGTTTACCAACAACAATCGATACAGAGTGTTGATCTAGCACTACGTTTTACTGGCTCCACCGTTTTTTTTTTTTTTTTTTTTTTTAAGAGGACGTTTTACAAGCATAGTTTGCCATCTTTCTGCATCTGTGATTTGAATTCACTATACATACCTATTAATCACGTCTACTTCCTTCCCCCGCTCTATTTAACGGCTTACGGCTTACTTCCATTGCCTACTTTCAGACATAAAAAGTACCTATTTTTATATTACCTCTCGATAATAACAAGGAATCGAACAAAACAATTTCGTAAAGATTATTTAATACATTTTTTTAACTACTATTATTTCATAGATGTTCTGGTTATTACATATAAATAATATAAATAAAATTTGAAAACCAAAAATAAGTAGTCGTTTCACCCTTTAAAAATAATACAAATGTAACATTTTAGAGTTGCTATTGTTTCTTAAATTGTCAAAAATAATTTTTTTTTTTTTAAGTCAATGAATTTTGAAATTTCGAGTGTAATTATTTAAATGGATTATTTTGTACAATTTACGGTATTTTTGTCTATACGTATACACATTGCATGATAAACGTACTGAAAAATAAACCCTGATTTAATAATATTTAAAATTATAGAACTGAAAATGACTAAAAGTGACAAACTTCAATCTTATACAAATTATATTTACGTCATTATACAGAAAGATTACGAACCAGCGATTTTTATTTTTTGTAAATGTTTAATGCATTTGATAGATTTGAAAACAAACAGTTCACACATTTCTCTACATAATTAATTGTTTGCACACTTTCACGGACGTATGCTTTCCTCTTAAGCGTGTATCAGGCCGTAGATGGAAAACGTTTTATTTTTAAGATAGTCACTAATAATTTAATAAGTTAAGTAAACACTAGAGAAAATTTGGAAAACTGACCCCGGGGCCCTAATCACGCGCCCGTTTTATGTGGTCTACGGAGTAGGTCGGTGCACGTAATAATATTGTAATGTTACATTGTATTTTATTTTCGGTAGCCAGTTTTTCGCCGCCATCATAGCATTCTTGACATTTTATCCTATCGTTTCGAACACATGACTATGTGTACGCGAATTATTTATTTTGTTCTTCCATTTTGCCGTTAATAGTTTTGTTGGTGCCCGGTGGCGTAGTTACAGACCCTATAGCCGAGGTCAGCTTACGCCGAAACCCATCCGTGTTAGTTTCATGAGGTTATAGAAACTCTACAAAACTTAACCTACCCATTTTAGAAGAAAAGGTCGGAACACCACCGTGTTATCAAACGTGGCTGCTATATATAGAAAGACAGTTTTAGTAGGTATTTATTTTATCCGCCATTTCAGCATTCATATAGCACGAAGAGCGTGACTTTGTGCATTTTGAGATTTGGTTGAAAAATAAAAATTATAATTAATTAAAATAAATAATTGTATGGTTATTCATTTATAAATTTAAAATAGAAAAAAAAAATCATTTAATTAAAAAAAAGAGAACAGTAAATTTTCCATATGTTTGACAATTTTAGATATTTATTTAACCGCTATAAATTTTGGTTTATGGTGCTCTTTAGGTACATAAATTTGTCCCTCTAAGTGACCATATAATTATCACAGAAGAAATAGTCAGTGTTTCGACCTATCTTCTAAGACCATGTGGTCTGAAATGTAAACCTAAAGCCTACAATGTATTCGGTTAGGAATAGAAAGACATAACTTATTTGTTGGTCTAAACCCGATGATGTTCAAAGGATGTTATAGCGCCCTTAGCGTAAGCTTAATCGATGAAAAACCACGGCGGGTTTCGTGTTTATAGACATACTGTTTGCGTCGAATTCCGATATGGTCTGTAAATACGTCACCCGGTGCGGTGGTGGCTGGCGCGTATATTATTCGCAAAAACGAACTTTTACATTCCGCTGCTATGTCGTTGTGGCTGCGGTGGTAGAGTTAAATCGAGTGAGCAATTTACTGTGTCCCCACGGTGAAGAAATACGGAAATCCCCCCCTATCACGTTTTGTGAGTGAAAATGAATTTTAGACTCAATTTTTATGTTTCTCAAACATTAATGTAGGTACCTATGTATGTATAATAAAACTGGGGTTTAGAGAAAGTGATTATTAAGGTTCGGAACTATTTTTATAATATTTTTGGTGACAGCTAGAACGGCTAGAACATTTTAATTAAGAAACAAAATATGGGTTTCATATTTCACTGATGTCATATTTGCCAATTTTTGTTGTTATTTTTTTGCGTATTTAGGACTTTCAGAGCTATTTTGTTTCGATTTTCAAATAGTACGTTTAAAAGTTTTCGAAAAAGACGGTCGCATTCTGTTGTGATCCCTTATTGGAAAATTCCGTTAGTTTCCAATAATTTTGTCATTTTTAAAATTGCATCAGTTACATCGTACTGTATAATTATGGAATTTAGTTTGAAAAAATTTAGTTTCGTATATTTTCAAACTATAGTGCTATTTATAAGGTTTATTTTGCTAATTCGATGTGCACATTAAAGCGCCTAACATTTAATTACTTTTTTAGTGTTAATACTTTTGAGTCTTGGTGATTATAATACATCATGAAACCGCAGTATTGACGGGACTTACCGGACGGTGATAGGGAAATGTTAAACGACAAGACAAGCCCTCCGTTCTCGGGGGACGTGGCGAATGTGGAGGTGACGGTGCGGTTGTTATTGGGGTTGCAGTTGTCCGCGTACACGAACACCTGTACGCGGTCTGGCGGCCATTTGACGTACGTCAGGCAGTAAAGCTTCCTCCAGCCGGTCACTGACAGCAATTCACTGCTGATTATCTGGTGGACCGTCCCGTTGTTCTTCCAACCTCCGTGACACTTGTAAGCTGAAAAAAAAATATATATAGAAAATTACGGTTATTTTACTTTTTCGTATTGAAAACCAAAACGAAACATTAGTACGTGGTGATTATAAGGCTGTCGACGTGTATGGACTCTCTATTAGTACCAGCGAAGGAGGACTATAAGCACATTTAAAAATGCAGAGCAGTTCTGAATAATATTGGAAACCAATGAGTGAAAGACCGCTGGCTCGGCCTAAGGGCCAATTATTCACTTCTACCTCTATCGCAAATGTTTTAAAAACACGTTAAATTGTGCATATCAAACCAGAAACAAAATGTGACTATGAGAGCCTTAATAACGGTCAAATATTCAGCAAAGCTATAAGTTTCCATTCAGACTAGTAGAATAATATGTATTCTATTGTTTTTGTTTAATTAATTTTTCTTTTAACGAAAAATATTATGTATTATATGTGATATTGACGAAATCTTGCAATGTCTGATTAAAATTTAATATAAATCAGCTTTTACAAAGAGTAACATACTTGAAATACATAAATATTAAACTCGACCATAAAATGTATTTTTTTTCAACTAGATTTGGTGGGTTTCGTTTATTCCTGCGTCCGGACACTGGGGTTCGTTATCTATATGGGTAGAACAACAACAACAAAAAAAAAAACCATATTTACAATTCTGAAATGTACTATAAGGTACGTATTTTAAGTGCGAGTGTCCCGCCGTAAAGTCTGACCAAATAGTTGAAAAGTCGACGGTGAATTCCGAACCGTCTGTATATACGCCGCGCGCCGTGTGACTACTGACTTTATACGACCTTTGCGGTGGTAAACGATTTCGCGTCGGTGAATTATTCAAAACGTATATATTATGAAATCTTAACGCGGCCAGTCGCTCCGAATCACACACACGACTGCAATATCTTATTTTATTACTGCGTTGTTTTACTATCGTAGAGGTTTAGGTGATCGTATATTTTATGCGAAAAACCCCGTCAAACGTAACACGAAAATGTTCCATAAAAATAATAATATTATTGTTACTGTGATACTGCAGACTTACATCAATCGTTTAACGTCATAGACATAGTGATACGTATTGATACTGAGGTGTGATGTCGGTAGTCACGTACGAAGAGGAAAATATTGTAATGATTAACCCATGAAATATTTGTTTATGCCATTCATTATATTATAATAGAAATGATTCATGATTACTTCAAATATTATCTCATATTTCATGGTATAATCGATAAAATTTGCTTCTTGACACATGGCTGCTAAGCTTCTGTTTTATTCATAGCTTCAGCCGCGGACTGAAATTTACAGGGCTATATAGAAACGTGCACTGATAACGTGAGCCAGAAAAAGTAATAGGTATAATTCAGGGCTTTAGCGTCGTCTTAGCGAATACTTTTGGAATTAGTTACGCACTAGTTAAGTAACGGTTCCAAAGTAAAGGAAAATAATCCGTGCATCCCGC